CTACCGGAAACAATACATTTTAATCACAGGTATGAAACCCGAAATGAAAATATATTTAGACTCTCCAGACACCGTTTGACCCTATATGAAAAATCTCCATTGTATGCTGGGCTGAGATTGTACAATGTGCTTCCGCCATGCTACAAGTCATTAAGCAAAACCAAATTTAAAGATACAATAGATAATTTACTTATTGACAAGGCTTTTTACTTAATTGAAGATTTTTACAGAACTACAATTTATAAATTTTTTGTATTTTAATTGTTTAATTTTAAGTTAAAAGTTTAAATGTTAAATATTTTATGTATGGATTTAATTTTGACAATGCACCTATTCTAAATGTTATGACATGTATGGATTGTTTTGTGCAAATAAAGTATGTCTATATCTATGTCTAAATAGTCATTAAAGACAATTTTGACTTATAGAAGTTTGAATTAGCCACGTTCCACTGTTTTTTCTCTTGAAAATCACAATTCACAAAATCTTCTGGTTTCGAAAGTTGGTTGTTTGAATACATAGCACCCAGCAGTAGAAATATTCTCACGACACTTCAGCTCAGCCGACAAATGATGTCAAACGCTAGGCCCTAGCTCACCATCAGATGTTGCCGGCAAGTTAATTAGGGCAATTAGGCTATATACATCTGTAAAAAGCGTATATCATTTACTGAATAGCAAAATTTCATTCTTATTTAATGTTATTTAATTTAATTAATAATTTAACTTATTTATCACCAAACATAATTCAGTGTAACCTTGATAAACAGATAATTACACTACATAACCTCATTATCCTAAGTAAAATACCAAGACAATTTTTAAAATTTTACAGTTTTAAAGTCATAATCCTAGTTTGTTGAATGGAGGATTGTATGTTCAACTGTTCCATCTAAAATTATCAGCAATTTTGCAGGAGAATTTTGTTCACCACTGTATGATTTTAGGGTCAGCCAAATCAGGGTTAAAGTTTGGTTTCCTGATCCTTAGAAATGTTAGCCCAGTCAATAAATGTTTTTTATCGCAACTAAATGGTGGAAAGCTGGATTTTTCATATGTGATAGAACCACATGAGAGGTGTATTTTCCCAAAAGTCCCCACTTCTACCCCTTGAGCTTTCCCTCCCACCCCCTCCAAACATAGAAATTGCAGTGTTTTACTTAATTGGTTATAATTAGAATGCTATGTAAGCTATCACACTGCAACTTGTTTTGTTTTATATCTGATTAGTTTTCCTACAACTTTTGTATTTACAACATTTTTCTAAAACCAATACTTAGGGAGATATAATATTTAAACTTTGTTAAAAGCTTTGTTTCAGAGTGCAAAATTTTGTTTTTCTCTATGTATACTTTTAAATAGAAATAATACGCAAATATGGTTCAAACTAAGTTTTAGTACGTTTTTCAAAGTTTACAAATATATTATTGGTAAGTCATCTAGGTGACCGGGTGAAGAGCTGGGCGTTGGCAAAGAGAGCGTGTGCGGGCTAGTTGAACACTTCTGCGCTGCGTCATCGCATCTAGCCCAGCCAATAAACGCACAAACTGCCTTTTTTTGTAGCTAAATAGTGGAACTCTGAGTTTGTTATATGTAATGGAACTACTTAAGACGTGTTTTTTAAAAAAAATCCCAATTTTCCCCCTTGAGCTTTTCCCCGCAACCCCTTCCAAACCTGGAAATTACAGTCGTTCACTTTACTGGATATAATTCAAATTCTACGCATGCCATCGTAGTGAAATTTGATTTGTATTATTTATAATTAGTTAATCTTCAACTTTTGTACTAAAGGATTTCTTATAAAACTATATCCAAAGAGATATATCAGTTTAACTTTTTTTGATAATGTTTATGTTTTAGAGTACACAATTTTGTTTTGCCCTCTATAGTTTTTTTCCAAATAAACTGGCAAAATGTTAAGGACAAATACTTAAGGCGTTGTACTTTGTACTTTACAACCAAACCAATCTGTATCCCAAGCTTAACCGTGAACTGCAAAAACAATTATTATTTAGATAGAACCCAATAATTTACTTTTTTATAACCAGTTTTGGTTCAGGTAAATTAATCTCTACCTATTTACTTGTTATACTTGCAATACTTGTATCGATACCACCTGTACTTGCAATACCGCCCGTCGATGCATAAGGACCGGCACTGCTAAGTTCTCAACTGTTTCATACAAATCCTAAGACTTCCTAATTTGTAGCCTAATTTACTACCAAAAGAATCTGTTTCCAAGCTAAACCGTGACTAAATGAAACATCTCGCTGTCAGTAAAAAGTTTTCTTCGACCCTCTAATCCTTGACAAACTGCGTCCTATTATTGTTATGTCCCTCTCTTCACGCTTCCCGCTAGCAAGGGTTAGCTCTCTGCTCTGCCATGAGTTGTAAGCCTGTGTTAAAATAATATCACGAACAACGTAGAAAACTGTCGGTAATATTTATAAACCATTTTTAATCATCATAATGAATACAAATTAAAACCAGTCAATGTTAAAACCAATTTTTTTATTAACTCTATATAGAGGAGATTTTAAAACACTTAATAAGCTCCTTCATCTTTATTAGCGATGTTAAACGTTTGCATTATATCTACCAATAACCAATAAAGAACTATTATGCTGACTCATTTTTAAGATAACATGAAAACAATCAAATATTAGAGAACAGAACGTCACCAAGATTATGAAAAAACCAAATTGATTGACACCTCTTCACAATATGTTAAGGAAGGAAATTTGAATAATTTGCCTGTATGTAACCCGTAAATAGTCTTGCCTGCATGAATGGGGACACAAATACAGTGTTTTACTTACTTATTTATAACTTTTGGATATATGCCTTATTACATTAATTAATTGGAAAGTAAGTAAAAGAAAATACGTCTAATAGCCTAACACTTAAAACATAAATTTACACTTATAATGTTACTCACAATACTGTAAATATACATAAAAGGTAAGTGGTGGTAGATTTTGATTCAACACTGCAATCATCCTCAGACCCATAGGCGAATTGGGTCATCTCATCATTGGGTTCAGTATGTTTCTTACCCAGATTTATGTAATGTAATATATGTATCCATGTATATTATTGTCAATAGGTGTAGCCGTTGACAGAAATAATTAAATAAATTATTATTTCAAATGAGAAACGAGTTAAGACTAACAATAAATTTAAGAAATGTACAAATCTTTAGATCTTTACTGACCGCGAGGCGCAGTTTATAGTATAAATCTTGCGGAACAAAGCGAGTCCCATTGGTGGTAGATAATGGAAAGCACATTGTAACGTAAGGAAGAGCAAAGAGTATGTTTATAGTGATTTTTAAAGTGTTTATTAGGTCTAGTGTTCTATACCTCAATCTATCAAGCTTCCGTTGGTCAAAGATAAAGAAATCAAGTATTACAAGTATTGCAAGTATAACAAGTAAGTAGGTAGAGATAATTGTACCTGAACCAAAACTGGCTATAAAAAAGTAAATTATTGGGTTCCATCTAAATAATAATTGTTTTTGCAGTTCACGGTTAAAGCTAGGATACAGATTGTTTTGGTTGTAAAGTACAAAGTACAACTCCTTAGCATTTGTATACAACCTTTGAGAACTTAGCGATGTCGGTGCCTACGACACGACGCATCAACGGGTGGGGCTAGGCTGCACAGATGCTTTGAAGAAGCCTGCACACGCTCTCTTCGCCGACGCATCACACTACATCAGTTCGTTCAGACAACAAACCAAATATATATTTATAAGCTGTAAGAAACATACACAACATTTTTGTTTGAAACATTTTGCGCATTTTATTTGGAAAAAAACTATAGATGGTAAAACAAAATTGTGTACTCTAAAACATAAACATTATCAAAAAAAGTTAAACTGATATATCTCTTTGGGTATAGTTTTATAAGAAAACCTTTAGTTCAAAGGTTGAAGATAAACTAATTACAAATAATACAAATCAAATTTCACTACGATGGCATGCGTAGAATTTGAAATATATCCAGTAAAGTGAACGACTGTAATTTCCAGGCTTGGAAGGGGTTGCGGGGAAAAGCTTAAGGGGGAAAATCGGGAAATTTTGAAAAAACACGTCTTAAGTGGTTCCATCACATATAACAAACTCAGCTTTCCACTATTTAGCTACGAAAAAAGGCAGTTTGTGCGTTTATTGGCTGGGCTAGATGCGATGACGCAATGCAGAAGTGTTCAACTAGCCCGCACGCGCTCTCTTTGCCGACGCCCAGCTCTTCACCCGGTCATCTAGATGTCTAACCAATGATATATTTGTAATCCTTGAAAAACGTAGTAAAACTTAGTTTGAACCATATTTACGTATTATTTCTATTTAAAAGTATACATAGAGAAAACCAAAATTTTGCACTCTGAAACAAAGTTTTTAACGAAGTTTAAATTTTATATCTCCCTAAGTACTTGTTTTAGAAAAATGTTGTAAATATAAAAGTTGTAGGAAAACTAATCAGAAACAAAACAAAACAAATTGCAGCTCGATAGCTTACATAGCATTCGAACTATGACCAATTAAGTAAAACACTGCAATTTCTATGTTTGGAGGGTGGTGGGGGGGAAAGCTCAAGGGGTAGAAGTGGGGACTTTTGGGAAAATACACCTCTCATGTGGTTCCATCACATATAAAAAATCCAGCATTCCACCATTTAGTTGCGAATAAGGGTGTATTATTGCATTCATTGACTGGGCTATGTTTTCAATTCAAAGGTTCACTTAGCTTGGAAGATCTGTATTAATAGAAAATAGACAATCCTCTTTATTAATCCAAGTACATAGTTCAATTTAATAGTGTTTGCAATCAATTATTATTCTAATGATACATTTTTTATATCAGTTTATTTAAGAGGGAGGTTACTTAAGAAGGTCATCCAGCGAGTAAATTCCTTTGTTAATTAAATACTTTCAGTTGTCTTTTATTTTTCAATATTTAATAGCATTGTTGAAATATGACTGTACCTACTGTTTGCCAGTGATGAGTTGACTCTGGAAGGCATCAAGCAGTTCTTTGTAGCCGTCGAGCGAGAGGAATGGAAGTTTGATACACTGTGTGACTTGTACGATACTCTCACCATCACTCAGGCAGTGATATTCTGCAACACTAAGAGGAAGGTGGGTCTTGTACAGCTGATCTATATATGCTTTTAATACTTTTAATAAAATGTATAAATATGTGTGATAACCTCTTGCACAAAAAAGTTTCATTGACTTTTATGTTCATTTTAACCCATTGAGGTGGGATGAACTCAAGGAACCTGCTTCAGTAGGTTTTTCCGAAATCGTGCCAAACCATCCCTTATTTTACCTTTTGCTGTTAGGTACAAGTGTTGGTGCAAGTAATGATTTAATTCCTAGTTTCATCATTATCAAAATGGAATTAAAAAATACCAGGGGGCTATCAAATAGAATTTTAGGTCTGTATTCACAATTAAAATAATAATTGAACTATAAGATTCTTCAAAGGAGGATTTAAAACAAGAACATTTGGCATAATGGATGAAGAAGGAAAAGTTACCACAGAAAAAGAGAAAACATTAAGAATATGGAAAGACTACTTTGATGGCCTGCTAAACTGCTAGAATACTGTCGTTAATATTCCCGATGAAGGTACAACATTCCATCATGTACAGCCTCATATAGACCCACCATCGTTAGAAGTGGTGAAAATAGCAAGCAAAGAATTAAAATGCAACAAAGCTCCGGGTGAGGATGGGATCCCAGCAGAAGTAATCAAAAGTGGAGGAAGCATATTGGAAAATGAAATTCACAACTTAATTACAACTACAGTAGAACCTCAATTACTCGAACCTTGATATCTCGAATTCCTCAATATCTCGATTTTAACAAATCCCCTTGAAATCCACATTAATCATAATGTTAAAAGTACCTGTTTAACCTCAATAAGTCAAATTTTAACAACTTTTGAACAGTAACATTCTACCTCTGTAACTCGAATTTTCCCGTCATTGAGCCTCAGTAACTCGAAGTTTACCTTTATAAGTCGAAGTTCGCACGAATGTGCCTCAATAATTCGAAGTTTTGCCTTAACAGTGCAGTCAGTTGTGTTTTGATTCCTGTCGAGACGTGAAAATCCAACTTCCTGTGTTTGCTTCCAATCCTGATGTGTCTGTTTGGCTAGGTACTGTAGTCAGTAGTCTGCCAGTTGTTGAGATAGTTTTTACGTTGCATTTTGTTCAGTATTTTAATCACACTAGTGCAGTACTGTATTTTCCCTTTAAATACTCTCTACATACTTTTTGTATGTACAGTATTGTGGCTATTCAGTATTTTTGTTGTTACAGTAGCTTGTTTTTACACTATATATAAAGAGTTTGACTAACGTTTGCTTTAAACAGACATTATACACAGAAAATGTAGTTCCGTTTATGGATGATTTAATGTATACTGTATTATTGTTTTGTATTTTGTAGTAGTATTTAAACTATTTTTTGTTATTTAACATGTTTTTAGCGAATTTCCCATATAGGGAATAAGCTATTACCGTAGTACTCATGGTAAGACCTGCACCCGGGACCGATTTATTTTTTCATTTTGAGGTCCCTAGAGGCCAAAAACACCATCCGTTCAAATTCATATATATATATATATATATATGTATATATATTTATATATAGGTACGGTATATATATACAGGGTGAGTTTTAATTGTCCCCCCCCCCAACTTTTTTCTACATTTTTTTCAAATATCAATCCCAGACCACTTCCGAACATTGTTGGGTAGTAAGTACTTAATTTTGACAAGGTGGTCATTTCCGGCCGCCATCTTGGATCCGCCATATTGGATGCAAAATATTTTTTCAAAAGTAAAGGTGGGGTTGTGACCCATTATTTTGAACTAAATTTCTACCCTGATTACAATGCCACAAACCGTTTTTAAAAATCTTGATTCATTCCAAAGTTATGAGGGTTTTTTTAAAACTTTATTTTTAGCCCATTTTAACATTGTGCATTTACAAACTAAGACCATAATCTCAAAATAGTGCTAGATAAAGATAAGTAAACACTACCAGTCATTGTCGACCTATTTTCACTTGGTTATGACAGATGTATTTTATTTGGCCGCCATCATGGATCCGCCATTTTGAAACGTAATAATTTATTTTGAATATGAAGGGGGTGTTGTGACCCATCATTTCAGATTACTTTTTTAAGCTGAACTCAATTCCATGATCCGTTTTTCATTTTTATATTTTGATTTTGAAATATTGCCATTTTTGACAAAAAGTTTGCAATATATCATAAATAAAACTTGATAACAAAAAATGGATTGCTACATTGAGTTTAGCTTAAAAAAGTACTTCGAAATGATGGGTCACAACCAGCGAACACATAACAAAATAGAAGCGCTACTCGGAGCGCAGGAGCGTGGCAGTCTGACTAGCCGACGAAACGGACAAAGATGGCGGCGCTAGCCTAGTCCCGTCGTCTGCAACGCGCTGGTCGTCTGCTATGCTTCGAGTCAGTGTTGTTTACATAGGCTTTGTTTAAATGTAAAAATACTTTTGTATAAAAATTACTTATTCTTTTCTGGAAGTACATTGTCGTATTAGTATATTGTTGGAAATGTCTTAAAGTAAATCGATTGTTTTTACCGTAGTAAATATATTTTTTTATCGCGGGAGAAATTTTTGTTTACAAATATATATCTGTTTAAAAAACATCTTTTTTCACATTATAAATCTGACATATTGGTGTTATTTTATTTCTTGTGTCACGACAAACACGATGGCATTTTGAACGACATTTTTAGCGTCTTATTAACGATGTTAGCATACGTTTTAAAAATAAACATCACCATAAAGACTATTGTGAGTTAAAATGCATGGAACTGTTAACAATAAACCTGCCAATAAGCCATAACAATTCCAGAAAGATTAGCTGAGTAGTTTGTTTACTATTCAATTTTAAACTTCAGTGTAAGTGCAGAGTTTCTTTAAAATCGGTACTTTTTAGGATCTTTCAACTATATACATTTTTCTGGTAAACGGATTTTTTTTTCATTGTTACCACGTAAAATGTATTTAAACCAGATAATATTTAATTTTTGTCTCAACAAAATCGGATAATTAATCTCAAGAGTTAGGCTCAAACTCAAGCACATATTTATTTCCCCGACAGTAGTCCCGGCGTGTGCAGCGCGCTAGTCGTCTGCTATGCTTGATGAGAATGGTGTAGATATAAAGTTAATGATATTAGTGTAAAGGAAAACAATGTAATTGAGGACTTGACAAACAGAGTACTTGGACAATGTGTAGTTGTAAATTTGTTTCCAAATAGTACACATTTCTCAGGATATGAAACAATATGGACAAAAATCATTTTTGTTTAGTACCTAATTAAAATTATTGCTCAAAAATATTCCAATGTTAGAGTTCCCTACTACTGTAAAATAAGTAACGAAAGTCTTCACAAAAATAAAATCAGGCAACATCTCAATAAAACTGTAATTTTTCTGGGACAATAAATTGAGTGTAATTTTACAAATATATTTGGGAAGTTTAATTTAACTTACAGAATTATCTTTAGTTTATCTTGGATGATATTGAAAGCTAATTAGTCCTTAAAAAGTTGTGCTAAACGGTTGAAAATTCTACATAGACAATATATTTGAAAATTGCTTTATATACAATATTACAGTACAACAGTATACAACATTAAAACACTGCACGCTAAATGTATAGAAGACGGCCGGCGGCGCAGCGGGCGTGGCGCGAAGCAATGGATCCCTTTTGTACCTGATTTTTTAGAAAACCGATGATGATAAAAAATTTTGGTGAATCGCATAGTTAAATTTGGTTATTTATCCACAACTTTCCCGCTGATGAAATTTCTCTGACCAAAAAATAAAAAATTTCCTCGCAATACAACTTTTTCATGTCTGAATTTGAAAAATTAAACTACATAAGTATTAAACATATTTATAACTCAATTACTATCATAACTAATAATTTTATATTAACACCATCGTTTTCCTCAGTATCATATCTACAAGTGTGCAAAATTTCAGAATTTTTTGTCAACTATTAATGTTGTTTATGATCGTGTATTTGTCGCGGGGTTTTTAATGCGAACTGAGCTCGCGGGTCTTGGATTCAGGCTGTATGACGGACCAAGATGGCGGATTTGGCCACACACTTTCAGTGCATTTGGTTAAACGCCGTGTCGTCTCTATTATTATTATGTGCTCGCTGGTCACAACACACCCTTCATATTTAAAATAAATTATCACATTTCAAAATGGCGGATCCAAGATGGTGGCCGAAAAAATACATCTGTCATAACCAAGTGAAAATAGGTCGACAATGACTGGTAGTGTATACTTATCTTTATCTAGCACTATTTTGAGATTATGGTCTTAGTTTGTAAATGCACAATGTTAAAATGGGCTAAAAATAAAGTTTTAAAAAAACCCTCATAACTTTGGAATGAATCAAGATTTTTAAAAACGGTTTGCGGCATTGTAATTAGGGTAGAAATTTAGTACGAAATAATGGGTCACAACCCCACCTTTACATTTGAAAAAAATATTTTTCAATCCAATATGGCGGATCCAAGATGGCGGCCGGAAATGACCACCTTGTCAAAATTAAGTACTTACTACCCAACAATGTTTGGAAGTGGTCTGGGATTGATATTTGAAAAAATGTAGATAAAAGTTGGGGGGGGGACAATTAAAACTCACCCTGTATGTGTGTCCGTCAGCACGATAACTCGAGCAAAAATGATCCAATTTTGATGAAATTTGGTACAAACGTGTAAACCTACATTTATTCGAACGAGTTCGCGAACCAGCATGATCGGACTATGGGAACGGGGGTTTATGGGGGGTTTTATGGGGTAAAAATAGGTTTTTCCTATTTTTAACTCTAAAAACACAAAATTTTACAATTTATTTCCAAACCATTTTGTAGAGCTTAAAAAAACAAATAATTCTGTATTCTGGAGCGTTATTGTGCGCCTAATGGTTACAGAGAAAATTCCAAAAAATTGGAAATTTAAAATCTCTATGTTATTCTTATGGAGAATAAGTCAACTATTGTAGTTTACTTGTTTATGAACATATTTTGATCAAATTTGGAAAATACATTAATTTCTTACTAAACTATTAACATAAAAAAACCACCTTTTTACCCTCCCTGTTGCAGCAAACCTAAGTACTCGTTAAACTAATTCTATTTAAATAGGGAATAAACATGATATTTTTAAGGAGGCATTTTAATGTGAAATCCTATCAGGCTAATGGAAATTCGCTTAGTCTGCAGGTTTACTGCGGCGGGGGTATTTATTTTTATGTAATTTATCAAACTTATTGCCAAATAATAAATACAGTACTTTATGTAAATTAAAACTGTTTTATTTTGCTTCCAAGTTACTCTTCAGTACGTATAAATACAGTTTGAGTTTGATTTATAAAGGTTTAACACGTTAAAGTCGAGTTATAAAGGCGGTGACGTAACATCACTGTCAGACCCCAACACCTCAGTATCTCGAACTTTTCATATGGAACCTTCATAACTCGAACCTCATTAAGTTGAAAAACTTGATAGCTTGAATTTTTATCATAACCCCTTCAGATTCGAGATATTGAGGTCCTACTGTATATGGCAAAAAATCGACACCGGTGTAAGACAAGGAGATGGCATATCTCCCATACTATTCAACTTAGCACTGGAGCCCTGCAGAAAACAAAAGAACTTGGATTGGGTGTTAAGCTAGGAGTAGATCTATACATATTGGCATTTGCTGATGATGTGGTCATTTAGTCAGAAACAGTCAAAAACTTGGCAAGTTTTGACAGAAGTACTTATCACAGAAGCAAACAAAATAGGATTGCAAGTAAATGTAGAAAAAACTAAATTATTAACTTTGGAAGAAAAGCTAACAATAGAAACAGAATCATACATAACTTAACTATAAATTGTACAGAAAGTTTCAAATATTTAGGAGTAACTGTAAATAGTAGAAACTCAGAAGACAAAAAGATACTAAGTTATCAAATGCCAATAAGTGTTTGGGAGCCTGTAAGAAGTCGATCTCATCAAAAGTATTTTATCTCACAGAACCAAAATACAGTTATATAAGACAACTAGCTGTACCCGCGGGCTTTGCCCCGTTTAACTTCTTAATTTTCAAAAGGAGCTCGTTCGCATGGCTCAATCAAGTCCTGGTTGAAGTTCGTTTGCTATGCTCACTCACCTTTAGGTGGGAGCTCGTTCGCTGCGCTCACTTGCCTTCAGGTTAGCTCGTTCGCTACGCTAACTCGCCTCCAGGTTGAAGTTCGTTCACTACGCTCACTCACCTTTTGGTTGCAAGTTAGCTGTGTCATAAATTAAGAAAATAATAGTGCTGCACCCTGTTGGTAATCCTTGTAACTTTAATGCTATTGAACATCATAGAACAGAACCAACTTGTTTAATTGAAACAGCTGTTAAGATTCTTTAATTCCATATAAATATGAGTACTCTTAAGGTTAACATGGGAAACTCCAGAGCCACTGGGGCAGAGCCCGAACGCCCGATCAGAATAAAAACTACTTAGTTTTCCTATTCAATACCCAAAGAATCGGTGTACCGAATTTCAGCCTCCTAGGTAAATGGGAAATGGGAGAATTAGTGATGAGTGAGTGAGTGAGTGAGTCAGTCAGTCAGTCAGTCATTCAGTGAGTCAGTGAGGGCTTTGCCTATTATATATATAGATAATTCAACATACATGTATTCTGTTGTATGATAGTGAAACATGGGTATTTTCCAAGAAAAATGAAAAACTACTTATGGTGTTTGAAAGTAAAGTCCTAAGAAACATATTTGGACCAGTGCAGGAGGGAAAAATGTGGAGAATAAGGAAAAATAGAGAGCTTAGATCATTACACCGACCCAGATATTGTTGCAATGGTTAAAGGAAGGTTAAATTGGATAGGGCATGTGCTAAGAAGAGAGCAAGGAACAAGACTTTATGATGTTTGAAGAGCCACACCTGGAGGTAAACGTCCATTGGGAAGGCCTAAATTGAGATGGACTGACCAAGTATTGAATGACATCAGGACAATTGGTGCAAATGTCAACTTGGCAGAAGACAGAGAAGGGTGGAAGAGGCTGGTACACGAGGCGAAGAATCAACTGAGATATTTGGAGGCACGGCAGTAAGTAAGTAAGTATTTACAATTAAATGATTCTTTAAAGGGTTCATAACCATTCATAGTTTTACATATTTAAAAACATTAAGCCAGTTACTGTCACTCTCACTATTTCTGGAACAGCTGTAAAAGATCGAGCAACTAATGGACAATGTATGTGCTATATCATACTACTTCGAAATAGTTCACTGATTCGTTATCAGATGCCACCACCTACAAAGTTTTGTCATAATAAGTGGGTCTAGTCAAACTGTAGTAGTGTCTGAGTGTGATGAGAAAGGCTCGTCAAACTGCTGTGAAGCGTTTACTTTATTTTATGAGTTTAGTTATCCTGAAACCGAGTCTGTAGATTCAGGTGAGATATCTGTTACTGATCCAATGTTATTTCTCGTAGTATCAAATCTGACTCAGAGAAATTTCTAATTTTTTGAAATATACTGTTCGTTTTGCTGTTATTTGGACATCTATTCGATGAATAAAACACCAAACAACATTCGTAACAGCAACCACAAATAATGCAGTTAATATAATTTTGACATTTTTACGATGTTGCACATTTTAATGAGATTGAGTTTCGAACATTGTAACGTAAACTAAACAAAAAAAATCAAAATTTTACCTTACCCTATCTCAATTTTGCAGAGTTTTTCTTTTTTTTATAGAAAACCAGAAAATTTTGTTTGACATTTCAAAATACAAATTTGTGTATTTTGTGTGTGCAGGTGGATTGGTTGACAGAGAAGATGAGAGAGGCTAACTTCACAGTTAGTTCCATGCACGGTGACATGCCTCAGAAAGAGAGAGATGCTATTATGAAAGAGTTCCGCTCTGGCCAAAGGTAAACTTATGAACGTAACCTTTTAACTTAATTGATATACTCTGCACTTAGTACACCTTACTGGGATCATCCCATAACTCCAAGGTTTCATAACTCCAAGTGATCATAACTCCAAAGTTTCATAAGTCCAAGAGATCATAACTCCAAATTATATTTAATCCAAAGTTTCAAAACTACAAGTACCCGAAAAGGGATAATTTCATTACTCCAAGAAAAATATAAGTGCAAGTGATCATAACTCCAAAGTTTCATAAGTCCAAGATATCATAACTCCAAAGTTTCATAAGTCCAAGTAAAAATTAAAGCAGAGTGTCATAACTCCAAAAGTTGAGTCGAGTCTCATATCTCCAAGTGGAATGTGTAGTACAGTCAGCGCCACAAGTTCCTGCGCTGTCCGCTCCGCTGTAATACTGTCAGCAGCCTTTGCCGCATCATTGTATCCATATACCTACCGTCGCCTGTCAAACGATTATGTAATTTTGTTATATACTTACAGATTAATTAATTGATATACTTCTTACTTCTATGCTAAAGGTACTTAAACCTTTAACTACTCGCGCGGGTTTTACTAACGTATGTACTCGCGTGGGGTGTTTTTGACACCCCGTTATTACATATTTGTTATAATTAATTGTATTAACACTAATAATTGGTAAATAACATTTTTTGTTGTTATTTAAGTTTATTAAAACGTTTTTATTAGCTCGCTTTCTTGTCCGGTACAAATTTTGCAATCAATTTTATACTAACTTCCCGATGAGCTAGAGACTTGAAACTTGAAACATAGCCCACAAATGAAAGACAATGCAATATAATATCATTTAATTTTCATATTTCCCTTGGGCTACGCCCCATGGGCTTGTTTTTATTTTACTGTATACTGTTTCCAATATGAAAGAGTTATTTATTTTAAGTTATACAATGTAAATAATATATTTCTTTTACCAACTGCAGTTTATGTGTGTATTTGGTCAAGTTTTGCATATAAACCATTTGTTGTATTAAAAAATATGTATTTTGTCATTGCACTGTTTGATATTGAATAACTAGCATATGTAATACCCGGAAAATATATAATTTTTAAAAGATTATAATGTGTCTGTGAATGGTAAAGGTATTATTTTTCCCTAAAATGTACTACTAAAAAAACAGTTTTTAGGGGGGGGGGATCGTAATACACACAAGTTTTGTGCAAACAAATTTATTTATATGTCAAAAACACTTGTTTGTTATCGAAATAAATGTAAATAAAAAATGTCCTTTCATTACTTTTAGAGTCTTTCGCAAAAAGAACAACATTACCTTATACAGGAACTTGTACTTTTTACGAAACGTTAACACTCACGTGGGGAGTTGAAAACACCCTATACTTTGTAATACACATGTATTACCAAGTGAACACTAGAGATCGCACGGGGACTTTGGATGAGAAACGTTCCTGTGTTTCACAGTTTTAACTTTACATTTCAGGTAATTTACACTAAGTGTACAATGCAGTTGTCTGCTTGCAACATTGAGCAGATAGCAGACATAATAATCAAATAATTTCTAAAGTCAATGTTACATATGTTTCTCGTAAATGAAATGTATACTTGCAGTATCCAATCTCATTAGTATATATTTTGTTTCAAATGAATGCAATGTCTAATTTCGTTATTCAAAGTCAATTACAAGTCTGGTTCAATTAAATGTATTGTCTACCTCAAAGTATATATGTGTCATCTGGTTCTCATAAATTAAATGTCTATTTGCAGTAGCAGTATCCTAAATCAATAGTACGCCAGCTTCACAAAAATGAGAAATTTACTTGCAGTATCCAATGTCAATGGTCCATTTGGTTCACATAAATAAGATGCCTATTTGCAGCATTCAAAGTCAATGATACGTCGGGTTCACTTAAACGAATTGTTTACTTGAAGTATACAAACTCAATGGTACATATCGTTCACATAAATAAATTGTCTACTTGCAGGATCCAAAGAAATGGTTAATTTGATTCCCATAAACGGAGTGCCGATTCGCAGTATATTAAGTCAATGTTACGTCTTGTTCACGTCAATGGAATGTCTACTTGCAGCATCTAAACTCAGTGGTATCTTCGGTTCATATTAATGGAAGTCCTAATTATTGCAGTACCTATTCAAAGTCTGCATTATTTAATTGTAAGTCTAGTTCACTGAAATGGAAAGCCTACTTGGAATTGCAAGTTAAATGGAAATATAACTCAATGGTAGGCTTATATTTGGTTAAAATGTAATGGATATTTAGATTATTTAAAGTCAAAGGTGTTTCAGCCTTATTCTGGCGACCATAATTATTGGTTGTTTTCATTTTGTAGTAAATTATGCTCAATGATATTAATCTTATTGTTCTTCCCTTTTTCTGTGTCCTATACGGTAATGTACTTTTTAAACGATTCTTTGACTAACATATGTGGCAACTCTTGTTTATCTTTTTAGTGTTATCTCGCAAATAAAGTCATAGCAACCAATGAACCCATAAGGCCCATGTTAAATAAAAAAAAAAAAAAAAATTCACGTAGGGAAAAGCCCTGTTGTCCAATTTGTACCATTTAAGATTTATACATTCCCATGGTTGGTTACTATGATCGTGCTAAATTTCGTGTAGATCGCTTCAGCCGTTCAGGAGGTATTTGTAAAACAAAAAGAGGAGAGTAGTATAAGAGCTTCGCTTTGCGCCGTTCAATTACTAATGGTTGTTAATCCTCTATATATCGAAAACGGCTAATACGATTTCCTTCTAATTTGATAAATAATTTATATCTGGCCTAAAAACGTGTTTACTGCAGTTAAAACTGCTAGCAAAAAACTAACTACGCGACAAAATTGAATTGAAAGTCTATAATTTTTAACATTGGCCTCATTGGTTTCCAAGTAACCATGACCATAGACTAATAGAACTATTTTAAGTTGTAGTGTGTTGTTATGTTCACCAAGGTTTTACGAGCAAATTAACGAATGCAGTGCAAAGGGGAAAACACCAGTTGTTACTATTGAGCAAAGATTACACTGAAGATTACTCAATGTAGGGGTTCAATGGAAATAAACTAATACCACTACCCTGTCATGGCTTGGTTCCCAGGTACTACTACATAAAACCAGGGATACCGTCACCTCTAATTGAGACTTTTAACGAAATTCCCATAATAAGGAATAATCTATTACCGTAGATCTCATGGTAAGACCTAAACCCGGAACCGATTTTTATCTTCATTTTAAGAGCGCCAGAGGACAATACACACTTCGTTCAAACTCATATGCTGTACTGTATATAATATATGTGTGTGTAAATTTGGAATAAAGGTTAAATTTTAAATATGCAGATCTTGATGAGTTTAAGTTATAATTGGGCCTATTAGGCTATGCTGATTCAAAATGTCCAATGACGATTTGTCCTTAGTTAGTGATTTAAACGAGATGGATGATGGTTACCAATTTGGAGTCTCTGTCTTCACCTTTGTACCACATGCAATAAATAAAATAGGGGTTGGTTAAAATTTGGTACTTTTCAAGGCACTTTTGATTTAAAAAAATTTAAAATTTAGATTACACTTTGGGATAAATTTAATTTAAGTCAAGCACAATGTCCTATAAAGTGATGTTAACACTGCAAAGAGTTGGCAGGATCTGTGTAGAGGCAAGGGTTGAAGTTCTGGAAGTCCATGTCCATTGTTGAAATAATGTACAGCTGGTTAATTCACATAAATGACACTTGCCACAGTAATTTTGATTTTCTTTGGATTAATTTTGAAAAGTAATACTATATTTAAGATGTTATTATTATATTGCAATTTTCTTACAATTATAATAGTTAGATTATCACTTTAGAGAGCCACAGGTTTTCTTCCAACATTGACAAGAAAAACTGGTAGCCTACAACGTTGTGTTCACCACTGTGTAGGGTGGCAAAAAGAAAATGTCGCATATATACATATAAATATTAAATAGATATGTATATTCTTTTTCCAGTTGTATCCTTGTTATTGGTTTTGTGTCATATATATGGATATTCGAATACTCTTTATAAATTGCCAAGATAGTTTTTAAATGTAGTGAAACATTGGACAATAATTAATTAATTATAATTACACATCTGTGGCTGGGTGAATGCCAAACGACAAAACAGTAATTGCTGAGGACGCTTTTTAAACGATGAATAACCAATATGAGAGGAAAAGATGGAATGCAGGTGTCCACAGAAAATACAGGGTGTTTTTAAAAGAATGCCGGGATTTTAAGTAATAATTGATTGAGTACTCAATTGATTGAGTAATTGTAATCGTATTCAAGGTAACTAAATATTTGTCAAATTGAAGTTAAAACAACTAAGTTTTGTTTCCCGTGTAGCAAGGGAGGAAATTTTGACCTTGGCATGAGCAAAACAGGTGCGCGGTGGTAGGCCGCTATTGTGACTCATACGCTTGACGCAGTCGCCAGTATGACGTTTACGGCGCAACAGAAGGCACAGATTGTAATCTGTGGTTCGCAGAGTTTATATCAATTACTAAATTAAAATTAATTTAAATCTACTTGATGATAAAGAAACTTGAAGCTGGTTTAATGAGTTTCGTGGCACCGTAGTGTTTTGAAAAGACATTCACCTGGCCAGCTAAAAACAAGCAATGCCATAGTCGAAGAAATCCGACAATTCTGCATCAGAAACCCAAAAAAATCAATTGCCTGACGAAGTCTTCAGTTGAACAAAGCTAAATTGGTCACTTTATGAGGTTTTCTGTAAAAGATAGAGTCTTTGTGCCTAAAAGGATTCGTTGAAGAGATCAGATAAACCTGCCGATCACCCTAATCGTACAGACATTGCCAGTTTATGCTCATATAAGATTGATGAAAATCTGAATTTTATTAAATCATTCCAAATTGTATCAAAGAATGAGGAAAAAACTTTGTTCTTTTTCCTTCAATTTGACGTTTAAATCGTTTAATTATCTTGAATAGTCCCCGAGCAACGACCGTTTAAAATTC